TATATATATACGACGAAATGGCGGAATGCATTTTTGCGGCGTAGCTATAGTCTTTGATTCGCCGCTTCCATACGAATCCAGTGGGTATCACGGCGAAAATAAATGTGTATACTGCTGTCTGCAGTTGACTATGAGCAATATAGAGGTACGTACCATGATACAATAACTATGCTGTGTGACGATGGCCGACGATGGGATGTAGCATCGCAGAAAAGGACACAGAGCATCAAACGCACAAAAAAAACAGTACTTTGCGTTTTATAGGCACTCTGAATACGTCACGTATGCTACTTTGCACTTATGATCGGACGACAGGCAGAAGATTTTAGCTTGCACACACTACAGTGAATATAGGAAAACTATAGTGGATATAGGACGACTACAGCGAATATAGGAAAACTACAGTGAATATAGGAAAACTACAGTGAATATAGGAAGACTACAGAATATATGAAAACTACAGTGAATATAGGAAAACTACAGTGAATATAGGAAGACTACAGTGAATATAGGTACTGGAATACTGCAAAAATATTGCCAATGTAGACGGTGACAGCGCAACTCATATTCGACCTTCACAGCGCAAAACACCCAAAGCCAGGAAGATGAATTTGCATCTATTTTCTTGTTACATACGAACATGGATATTAGACCTTAGACGGAAGCGTAACAAGAAAATAGACGCGATAGAAGATGAAATTGCATCTAATTTCTTGTTACGAACATAGGATATTGGACCTTGGACTGAAGAGTGCTTCGCATTTACGAGAGTTCAAACCCACATACCACAGTCGTCGGTCACTCCACTTGCCCTTTGCCTCGGGCTGGTCTTTCTTAAGCTTTCTTGTCTTGGCCATGATGGATACCGCAGCGTGTCACAGTTTGCTCAGCTTTCCTGATAATACCACATATGTTGTTATAGACAATGCTTGATGTGCTGTCGTACTGACTATGCTTCAGTGCAAGTGTACTGTGCCTGGGCTGACTCGCCCTAAGATACTCGTTTGTCAGTTAAAGCGATATGACGTCTACTGTGCTAATACGCCCCATTCAGCATCATATAAGAAAGCTATCTGCATCTCAGCACTCACTCGTTCATACACTCTTCCATGCACACAGCGCTAGTCGTATTACACCTATTGCCCTAACCTCTGTGCCATTTGTGATATCAGCATACCTGCCTTTGAGTTTCGTTTACGCGTAGGCGCAGGGTTTTACAAACGTGTAGGGTTTACTAACGTGTAGGATTTACTGTGCCATTAAAGGGAATTACAGAAAGAGCGGGATCGGATTCAGCAGAGGGGGTTTCGGTCTACTCTAGGCTACTACGCAGGAATATTGGGTATTTATATTAGTTCCTATGGCTGACACCATTCATGTATAGTAATATGAGCACAGTGCAACACTCACAACCAGCTTCGCATGTCAATACGTGCGACCGGCACAGTGCGTTCATTGCCAATACATGCGACAGGTATAGTGTGCTCATTAGTGATTGAAACACAACAGAATAAAGCACACGGTTGTGTCAATAAAACCTCAACAGGTGTTGGCACATACACGATGCACAGCGAATTGGTCTTACACATTAGAGTTCACCATCAGGTGTACGCCTATATGTAGTGCGCACAACGGTAGTAGCTGTGGATTGTAGTTTTAACCACGCCAGTCTCACCATGGATAACGCACACCTTTGTGCAGCCAATGTAGCTGTTAAGCAGGCCCTCATCAAGCGATTGCAAGGGGTGCTGAGGCGTATTCTCGAGGTTGGTTCTGATACACATCGTGACTTTGTCCGTTTCTATCGGTCCTGTAAATTGATACCATTGTGTCTTTATATAACTATGTTCTAGTTTATTGTAATTCACTGTTTTCGTCGTGTTTCGCGTAACATGTATGGTGCATGACGGAAAGGTTTACATATACGCCGTACATGAGCTGCACGCTCGTTTACTTATGCACACACAAGTATACATATGTAAGTATATGTGTACATACACACACACACTCACACACTCACATATATATATATATATATATATATATGGAATATACGTACTTCAAAAGTACTTTTGGGCATAGATAATCATATGAGTAAAAATATATAAGTATATACATCTCGGTAAGTTTGATCTGTCAGAGGATCTGTTCTGTTGACAACATCACTGTTTATCAGTTCTTATGCATGTTTTGTGCTTTTGTATTAATTTCATACTAATCCTTGAAGCATCTCTACCCAATTGACTCAATTCGAATATCTACAAGAATGGTTCGTGCATGTGTATCTCCACTGCACTCTCCTCTGATTTTAACCGTGTGACATTGTCAGGACGACAGCATTGGGCGTACAAGCAAACATGCTTACAAGCACACATGCTTCTTGCAGTTGTATGTCTATCGCATCAATATGTTGTCCATCTCAGCTCGTTTGCTTCTGTTGTTCTATTGCTCCAGAATGCACGCCAACAACAGGCGGCTGGAGGGGCCACTGCTGCTGAGGTGCCAGCGCTGACTCCCAGAGATGTCCTTGACCTCTGCGATTGCGTGCAGCACATCTTATCGCATGGAATGAAAAAGTGTGTGGGTCTGTGTGTAGCGATGAGCGCGTTGTGATCCTTGCGTCCAAGTACTCGTCATTTAACACAGCTATAGTCGTGGTCCTGTCTCCCCACTGATTGAAAATTGAAATGACCAAGTGTGGCATTTTTAGCTAAACAAAGCGTTCATTATCAATCCCCGTGCCCGTTGTGCACTGTTGTTATGTGCATCCTTATTGTTGTTTAAATAAATTATGATGTTCGCATATAGGCCCTTAGTTAAAGACATAGCCAAGCTGTTTAAGCGAAAGACAATGCCAAATGACACATGCGCAGAGGAAATCGAAGACTTTTGGCCTGTGGTGGAGGCTGTTTCGAGGTATGACTGAGCTATTTTAATGCGTATCATGACGTTTGCTTTAGATGTGGGAATGTAAGTTTGTGAGTGGATCTAATCTGATTTCACAAGTTTGTCATTACCAGTTCCTATTTTTTTTTTACTATTCGCGGCCTTCGTGGAATTCGAACTTTCCATGGCGAAGACTTTCTGGTTTCAATTTAACTTGTGTTATGTACATTCGTCGTAGTACAACATTATAATAACCACATGTGATTTACTCGTTATTACTTATGTTATGTACATCCGTCGCAGTACAACAGTATATTACCCACATGTGATATTCTCGTTGATACTTGTGTTATGTATATCCGTGGCAGTACTACAGTATAATACCCACATATGATATTCTCGTTATTGCGGTACTTGAATTACATGGAACTGTTTTCCGCATTATGAATCAATGTATAGCACGTCGTATGAACGCCTTGTCACTCATTGGAGATTGCCACACATATACTTAATGTGTGTGTTTGCTCATCTCATTTATTCGTTTGATGTACGGACTAGCGCACATCCCAACTATGCGCAATTTTTGGCGCGTGTGGTATCGCTGGCGTCTGATAAGTCTGAGCGAGGGCTGATGTGGATCAAACAGAGTGTGAGTCAGCGCGTGCTAGCGACCCATGTTATGTTTGTGGCAAAGAAGGGGCCCTTGTCCCATCTGCCCAGGTATTACCATCCCTGGGCATTGATGCGTGACGCTCCTGCCGTAGAGGCTGTTTTGAGTTCAATTGCGCAGTTGGAAAGGCCGCTGGGTGTTCACATTGCCGCAGACAATACACAGTCAGCGCCACATTCAGGTGTCTCTGCAGTGGCCGATCCCAAAACCAGCGCTAACGGAGTTACAGTGTGCAATGATGTCAACGGATTGGTCGATGAGGTGGTCAGTAGTGATGAACCCTCGGACGTACTAAGTAGCACGCCACACTCTGATATGGCGTTACCGCGAGGAAGTATTGGAGGTTTAGTTGAGAGGGATGTGGTTGTTATGTTTGATATGACACCTGCTGACACACAAGCACTTGTGACACGTTGCGCATCACCCTCCATAGCCAATAGCCATCAGGTATCGAAACAACACCAGGACTCACCATCCGACCGAAAATGGATCGGATCCCAAGACCCGTTTATAAACGTCACTACAGTACACCCAGATCAGTCACAGGCCGCTACATGCTCTAGACCAATTGACGTGGCCTCTCAAACGGGCGTTTCTAGCGGCGCTGAGTGTAGCAAGAAGACTTTGCCGTTAGAACAGACCGATATTTCGGACGCCATGGTAGACAGCCACATGTCAGGCAATGGCATGCACACTGCTGCAGTAGCAGATGTCTCCTGTCGAGAGAGAGATAGGGAGTGCAGTGCGCGTGATGGCTTGTCACCGCCAATGGATCGTGACTGGTTCAATGGCTCCGATTGCCTAGTCGACGAGCTTAGTCACCATGGAGGTATGACTCACCCGTTTTTATGGCACCTTTTTTTTAACGTCATTTCAGGTCGAACCACATGTTTTTTGCAGGACATGAGCACAAGCAACGTCACTATATTCATCGATTGCATGCGATTCATTATCGTGTGTATACGTCCTTTATTTTTCTGATTGTCTTTATAGGGGTTTGGCGCTTAGCTCATTTGTTCACTCGATCCACACTCTGTCACTCATGCACTGAAAGGTCTTCTAGGGGGCGATGCAAACAACCACTCGCCAACGTTTGCACACGTTCCTACAGGCTTCACGGACGCAGGTGTGCTGTGCATCTGATACCAATGGTTGTTTGTGAAGTGCTTCTGAAGCTATTCGCTGCTCGTGCAGATTTGTGCCTATTTCGATACGATGGGACCCACCTGAGCTATGTGATCCGGATTTTTAGGGTTTTTAGGGTTTTAGTAAATAGGTCAGGTGTGAGTAACGACAGTGTAGTACATATCTGCACAGACAGTGTATTGGTTTCATGAAGCTAGCTTATAATGTTATATGCATGGACGTCAGCGCTTTGATTAGTCCAGTAAACCCTAGTTAGTCGTCGTTGCACACTCGTATTGGACGCGTTGTGTCTTTTTTCTGTGTTCGTTGATTGTATAGTCTGACTGTGTAGTCTGACTGATTCGCGTGCCTGATGATGCGACGGCTATTGGCATTGGTGTTTATATCTATTAACAATTCATCTGCTCATTCTTTTGCGGCAGAGTCGAATAAGAAACTCGAAGCAGTGCTAGGGACAGATTTGCTCGACCCAAGTCCCAACCATCAGCCCATTGGAGCTTCGCGTATGTCAAATCGAAATGACTGTATGTACGAATGCGCTTGTGCTAGATTTAGTTGATATCAACGTCAAATCGAAATGACTGTATGTACGAATGCGCTTGTGGTAGGTTTAGTTGATACCAATGTCAAATCAAAATGACCGTATGTACGAATGCGCTTGTGATAGGTTTAGTTGATATCAACGTCAATCGCCCTGATGAGCTAGTAGGTGTTTTACTTTGGTTCAGCTGTATGCAGCCCCTTTACACCAATGCTAGGTAGACCGACGCGTTGCCACAATCGAGAGTGGCTACATCGTTTATTTGATCTTGCTTGGTCTATATGAAAAGAGTTTTCATGCAGCCGTTCGTTTGCGGCGAGCATTTATCCACTACATACCTAAGTGTATCAAATGAACAATTGTCGGCTATCCAGAGTGTGTAGTCTTGGTTTGTAGTTTCGAGGGATGGTTCGTTTGCCGCCTCATAACTCACATGATAGCAATTTCGTTTGTAGGTAAATTTAAAGGTAAACGAAGAGGCGGTCGTGTTATCAAAGAGCTTCAGAATGGAACTGTGGATGATACTCACAGTGCCGATGGGAGTCGTAGAAGGTATGTAAATGATAAGTGGGAAATAAAAAGTATAGAACATCAACGTAAAATATTACTAGAATACACCATTACAACAAAGTTAAGTGGGAAACATAAAGTATAGAGCATCAGCGTAAAACATTACTAGAATACACCATGACAACAAAGTTAAGTGGGAAACATAAAGTATAGAGCATCAGCGTAAAACATTACTAGAATACACCATGACAACAAAGTTAAGTGGGAAACATAAAGTATAGAGCATCAGCGTAAAACATTACTAGAATACACCATTACAACAAAGTTATGTGGGAAACATAAAGTATAGAGCATCAGCGTAAAACATTACTAGAATACACCATTACAACAAAGTTAAGTGGGAAACATAAAGTAATAGAGCATCAGCGTACAACATTATTAGAATACGCTATTGCAAAACATCAGTGTAAAACTTCAGTGTAAAGCATTATAAAGCACTAGTGTGGATGCATATGTGCCTATGAATTTGTGATGGCGTAGTTGTGTGATGATGAATCGACTATAGTGAGTGTGTTTGTGCGAGGAACAAACCTTAGGTGTATAGCGTGGATTTGCAACTTCACTGACGCGCTGCGTGATAACAGTACAATGCGCATGTTCACTATCCGCTGTATTGTTTTGCCGCTGGGTTGTAGCAACTATTTTGCACACATCGTCCAATGACTTTGGTGTAGGATTTAAATGTAACAATGTGTCATCACTTTGCTTATTGACTCCTTTAGTTTTAATGTGACAATATGTCATTAAGCTCCTTATTGACACTTTTGTTTCTCTCCGCCACGCATCGCATCTCTCTCAGGGTACAAAACAACAGGTCAGAGAAGACGAAGGGGAAGAAGTCTGTGCCCCCAACCGCCGCTGGATCAGTGCCGACATCGCGAGACACTACACCCCTGGATACCCCACCAACCAACCCACACCAACCACCCAACCCGTCTTATGAGTCAGCGACAACGCCACTCGACAAGCACGCACAGACACATCCGACCTTTGCAACAGCCACAGCAGACACCTATACACAGCATGCACCGACACCACAGGCTGTCTTTATTGTCTTAAGAGATGGAGCAGTGACCCCACCCTCACCCGACGCCCCACCTGGGCCATTAGGTGCTGTGGCCGATGCAGCACCAGACGTACCGCCATCGCTCGCCTTGGACGATGAGGGCATTGAGCTGCAGCAAACGTCCGCTGTATCCACACCAAGCATTCCTTCTTCCATGCCAAGCATTCCTTCATCCACGCCAAGTGTTCCTGCAGTTGTCCTCCGATCGCCTTCGAGTGCCTCGAATGATCCACTGCAGCGTTCGAATGCCAATCTGAACAGCAGCTCGGTCGTAGACACTCTTTTGGAAGAACATAATGGAGAGCATTGCGATGTTGCTACTATGGACGACGATGGAACCATTAGCGACAAGATGTCAATGGGTGACAATAACACCTTTGCAGAAACCGGCACTGTCTCTGACATTGGATGCGTGGTGAACGCTACTCCTGCGACCGTTGCTGAATGTTTTGGAGTTCAAGCACAGCTGCTGCACAGTACAATGCACACACCTGCAAATCAGTTGAAACCTAAAAGTGTTTCCAACAGTGGCACGCCAGTTGTATCAGATTCAGAATGCCAGCTTAGTATTGATATACCACAAGGCATCGACGGCAATGCTGGGGAAGCAATGATGAAGCCATCCACTGAGTTTCCGAGTGCGTCAAGTTATTCTTGGAGTGGGGCGGAAATCATCAGTGAACTACACAATGATAGTGTGGATGGGCATGGTGACAACGTGACAGATGCCAATGGCAGTTATCCGAATCAAAGCCCATCTGTATATACTGTGGAGACTCAAAAAACTAATATGAGCCCCTCATTCGACACTGTCGTAAATGGAAGCGCTGATGATCCAGACTGCCCTGTTGCGGTGGCACGAGAGAGCACTGTCGAAATACACACGTCTTCTGTAAAAAATGTCCAGAAAATGGCCAAAACTATTCGCACCGAGCCACCACCCGCATTAATTAGCGCCGAGAATGACAGTCTTGAATCAGCGGATTATTTCCCAACGGAAGTAGAAGAAAATGATAAGCCAACGGAAGTAGAAGCAAATGATAACTCAACGGAAGTAGAAGAAAATGATAACTCAACGGCAGTAGAAGCAAATCATACATCTACGGAGGGAGAGCGTGATAGTGCGGCTCATCAGTCGTCCACTGACAATGCCATGTGTGCAGATGATCATATGTCCAGCAGTTTGGATGTACATAACATGAGGAAGGCGCAAGTTTTGTTTGCTGGTGGTGAGATGAGCTGTATTGGCAGTGAAGTGCAAAAAGGTGCTATACATCAGGCTGCTTACAATTCATCATCAACCTCTCGCCAGCACTTGACCACAACTGGCGATCGGCCGGCAATCGAGACTCGCAGTTCAACTGAACACACCACAAACACATCCGAATCAATAGAAATACCAATCAAAACAACGGCCACATCAGCTGTTATCAACACTGATCCATCTCCCACTCAGGCCACGAGTGCACCTGTGGAAACTCTCACCTCGGCATTCATGGAGGCAACCATCCACACACCCGAACGGCACGCATTCACGCCCACGCCAGCACAAATGCAACAGCACGCACTCGCTACTCTGTCCCCTCCGCCACAGCCCAAGCGACCACGCACAGCAAGTGATCTGCAGCAGATGCACGCAGAGACCAACACGCTACGCACTGTGTGCAGCGACACAGACTACGAAGTGAAGGTCAACGACCACGCCATGAGCAAATTCAGAACAAGGTGGAACCGCCACCCACCAATGCTCAGTCCACCACACGTGCAAAGCCAAACCCTAAAAACAACGTCACACACAAACAGCGCAGCAGATGGCAATACGGCTGATGGCTCCACAGGTAACAGCACCAGTGACTGTGCACATCACAGCGATCGGGAAGACCTGGACGCTGAGATCTTGTACCATCAAACTGCTGATAGCAATAGTGCCGCCAGAGTGGAGGCTACGGCACAGCCGTTCGTTTCGCTGGGCCCGTCGTTAGGCGACGTAGGGATGGAGGCAGGTGTAGGCGATTTCCCTGTGGATGCAGCAACGGTGGATGGATCGGCTGTGGGTGTGGTGGGGTTGGATGAAGTCATTCAGTCACTGCGTGCGACAGCACAGAACTCCACCAACGGCACCTCCATGCAAAATGCACGCATACGCAAATGGGGAACACCGCCGGCCGGAGATACAACGCACACCACACCACACACCACTGATGCAGCGGAACACGCACGTCGCCTATCACAGCTGTATGGGAGACAGAGCGACACTGTGGCACCGGTGAGTAGACCGTCTTCTCATTCGACGCGCATTTTTGAGTTTGATGGTGTTGTCGAATATGGTAGCGTAAGATGGTGTATATGCTGTTCAATTCTGTCTCCGTTGGTTTACTCGTGGTGTGAACCTTGTTTAGAGATGAGTGGCTGTGTCTGATCGCCTTCACAATGGATTGCGTTTTTGTTGTTAGCTGTGCTTCTAATTGCCCATATCGTAATAGTATGTCACCGCAAAGTCGCAACTGGATAAACGAACTATTCTTGTCCTCTCAATTTGTTTTCACGGAAGTGCCCAATATTTGAACAGAGATTGGCCGATGCAGATAACGGTTAGAGTGGTCAGTATATAATAACTCGACTCGAATTGTTGTGCATCTTGTGGGTGCTGTGCTTTATTCCTTGCAGGAGATTAACCCACTCGAACACTTGAAAGTGTTGCTTTCTAGCTGAACACTTGTGTGCTATTTGTGCCCTTCTAATTGTAGGAAAGCGCTGAATCAGTAGATGGTGTTGGGGTGGAGAATGAGTTAGCGATGGCTATGCAAGACCTGCTGACGGCCGATATGCCGATCCGAAAACCTTACGAGATTATACACACAGATGGTGAACTTGTGGGAGATGTATATGGTGATCGAGAAGTGAATTGTCATTGCGAGGCATCTGAGGATGTATGTATATGTTGTGCGGTGGAAGATAGTGCTACTTCATCACCGGCGTCTGTCCACAGCCTAGTCACAGCCACGGACACTACCATATCGGATGCCCATGTGACACTTGGGCCACCCATGGATTGTACGCATGGTATTAGCACAGCCGAAAGTGCGGTACAGGACACGCAAGTCTCAGTTGTAGCGCCCTCCAGAACCACAGTGAACCATAGTGTGCAGTCGTTTGTGGACGAGATAGGCGCATCGCACATGATTGACACGGATGTGCATGAGATTGTGGTGGGTTCTTGTTTAAGCCCAGAAGTGCTTTCGTTGCAACGATCGCCAAATTCTGCACTATCAAGTGGCGGCACTACCTCGCCCATGAACAACAGCAACGACCGCATCAGTCCAATGAGACAAGGTATGTTGTTGCACATATATATATATATATATGTATATATATATGCTAGGGTATATGTTTTAGGGTTTAAGACTTAGGGTTTAGGGTTTATATATATATATATATGCTAGGGTACATATTTTAGGATTTAGGATTATGGTTTACACAACCACAATGGTAAACACTGAACGAGACGATTTAACGTTTCAGCTCTTAGCGGTAACTACTCGCGCACTACTGTATGAGCTGGTCAGTTCTTTTCGAATACACGCCTCCAAGAATATGATTGTATTAGAACTTGAATCATGCATGGATTCATTTGCTACGATCTTTTGTCCACACCTTACAGCACATTGAAATCTTCTTTGTCCTATTTTGTGATATTCCTAAACGTTCTTCAGAGTTTCTTGGGGTTCAAAACCCTAAACCCACTTTTATTTAGCCAGCGCAAAACATAACTCGTGGAAATACGGCTAAAGCCAACAAAGAGCAAACTCTGAGTGCAAAGAACTGCTGAGCGATAGTAGTGTTACGTTGTGTTACGTTGTGTTACGTTGCGGCTATTGCATTTGGCGTGTGCGTTGCATCAGCCCTACTGGTGCACCTGGTGCAGTGTATTCTCGCTCAATTCACAGCCGCATGCGCTCCTTCGATCAATTGTCAAGAATTAGATTGAACTCCTTGTGGCGACTATTTGTGTGCCTTCCCAAACGCATGCTACTGTCCATCCCATGATCAGCTGTCATGTCATCTGAGCCGCTTGTGCACAAACGCCCGTCACGATGGCGTACACCGCCTGACTATGTGTGCACTGGCTGCCTGCGAATGCGAGTAACCTTCAAGTACGGATTTCGCTTCTGCAACCACGACGGCAGGTGAGTAGTTTCAAACTTCACACCTTCGAATGGATGTTTTGTTCTGAGACTGTGCATGCAATTCTCTGGAGTGTGTGTATGTGTTACTATACAGTCAAAACATCTCCAAACACGTGTTAATCGTAAGCAGATGTCTGATTATTCGGACTACAATACTCGTCCAACTTCAATCCGTGTGTGTTGATATCGAAGTGTGTCACCTCTTGCGCATAGGGTTGTCATAGGTTATGTAAAAGCGATTAGCTGTCTATCCGTGTTAGAATGTACCGTGTGCCAACTTTAGAGACCCATTTGTCACGTATGGGGGGATGGTACTAAATATCATGTGCAATCAACAAATTTTCTCTTCGCTATTAAGTTGTCATTCGATGGTGCCACCAAATAGCACTCAATTATTAGAAGTTCTTTTACACATGTTTACAAGAAACTTGAGTCGACCACTCAACACATATTCTGATCACCAAGCTACATGTTGGTATAATATCTATATGATTTATAGACATTTATAGACACCGGTTTTTCATCCTCTCGCTACATCTCTGTGACACAGATTTCACTGCCGCGGCTGCCACACCAACCACGCCGTGATTATTCCTGGGCGTGTTGTGCGTGAATGGGATTTCACACCACGTCCCGTGTGTGATAGATGTCGCGCTCTCATCACCAGCGCACGCAGCGATCCCATTTACAACCTGCGCACTATCAACTCAGACCTCTATCAGCGCGTGCCAGAATTGGTGACCGTTGAGGTATGTCACGCGCCACAATTGACGAATGTTTAACCGCCGCCTCCGTTGCTAACCTAAGTAGTAAAACCCTAATATCAGATATGGTTTTAAACCTAAATAGTATGCGTTATCAGATGAAGTTTTAGACCTAAATAGTATGCGTTATCAGATGAGGTTTTAAACCTAAACAGTATGCGTTATCAGATGAGGTTTTAAACCTAAATAGTATGCGTTATCAGATGAGGTTTTAAACTTAAATAGTATGCGTAATCAGATGAGGTTTTATATCTCAAATCTTATGAAGCGATTATTCGTCAGCGAAGCACCAAAGCGTACATTGGGTTTGTAGTTTTGGTTTGTATCCAGTTTCACACTCTCACGTTTGACACTGTGTATCGTGTATACACAGACAAATCCAGACATCATCATCTGGTGTTCTCCTTCCGTCTAATTAACGGTGGGTATTGGCCCAGAGTTTTAGGGTTTTGGTCCATCGCTCGCTCAGTGACCACCGATTGGAATAATAGTGTCTTTAATGTGTTCTGCCAACATTACACACAAACTGATGTCTTTATCGGTACCTCCAACCAGTGCAAAAGGATGTGGTTGCGGTTTCCTTATCCTCTTTTCCATCCTGCGCTACATTGATTACAGGTACTGCGTGTTAAACTGGGGCATCTGGTGCAATACTTGCGACTCTGTCGATTGGGAGAACCGTAAGTTGATTCTATGGTTCGAATGGTCTCGGTGTATTGTATTATAGTGGATGTACTCGCTGCCAATTTGATCGTCCACCGGAAGTAGAGGCCATGCTCCTGCACGTGCTCATTCCAAAATATTTTTAGATTTCATATATATATATATCCTTGAATTGCACACCTTGAATGTCGGCGGGAAACGAAACTTATCTAGCCGGATTCTTATCATCGTAGGTTCATGGGAAGATTACAGAATACATACCTGGCCGATAATCCGATGATCTGCTCAATGAATGATTTGTATGACATTTCGTCGGGTGAGATGACTCTGTATCTGTGGAACTTAGTCAGCATTTTCAGACAGCACGTCATCACATGTGAGGTATGTCATTGTGCACTTGCTGTCAATAATGGATTCTCCGTGATGTCCATGGACTCATGGACTGCCGTACAAATTCGCATGCGCTCGTTTGCAATTCATAAGATAGTTTATTTGAACCGTCTTGTCGACATAGTTTGTGTTTTGACAGTGTCCTATTTTCGTATCAGGACAGCATCTCTCGGTATTAATATGTAGTTGATTACTCCCAAGATCGTGGCGCTGACAAAGCGGTAGTGCGTCACGATCTATCGACCGACTTGTACGTGCATGACGCGTGTCTACATACTACAAACCTTTCATTGACCCCACACCTCTGTTCATCTGCTGTTCGTAGTTTTGCAGTGCTCGAGGACATGTCTGCGATACGTGCCGATCGGGAGACACGATTTTCCCATTCGACACACACAACACTCACCAGTGTGAGCAGTGTGGCAGCCTACACCATATCAAGTGCTACATACAAGGCAGTGACTGTGTACGATGCATTCGGTTGGGCCAGCAAACTTAGTCACGCGAAGCTACGCCTTCCGCAGAAACTGGTCCTCAATTTAGTAAAATTATTAGATGATAGTACTTTTAATTCTGCTTTATTTGAGCTTGTGCCTACGAGTTGGCGATAGTGTCATTGTATTTGATATGTTGTGATGAGATCGACTGGAGAGGTGAGGATAGGACGAGATGTCGGGGTTCGGGTCGAATTTTGCAATTTGTAATAACATTTGTAATAGCGAAACAAGGGTGACGCACTTTGCACCTATTAACTTGAGTTGAATGTCTTCATCTGTACAAGTCACGAACAGTTCTATCGATTGCGATATGTTAATTCTGAGCATAACAAAGGGGGATTTCAATTCGATGGTAACACGTGGCAAAGTACTGCAATCCATATACTGCGTAGTGCCTCAGTATGTGCAGAACGCGAAATCACTACCTACTGGATAGAAGCACCATGACATAAGAACACCCAAACCTACGAAATAATAACTTAATGAATGCGTGTACATAAGCAAATACATGTTTATGTAGATGAGTAGCATATACAGCACCAACTACGACTACATTTGTCGAATCGATTCACGTATACACGTTTGCACACACATCACTACGCGTGTGTGAGCGTGTGTGAGAGCATGCATACACATCATTGTGTATGTAGACATACTACTAAGTGCCATGGCGTGTTTGTATACGTGTGCAGCAACGAATTGCATTGTATCGTGTGATCGCCGAACTGCAGTTCATGCCTATTAGCAATGAATTTATTTAATTAGTTGGTCTATCTCAACTACGGGTGATTCATTTATGTGGGAAGGCAGGTGGAGGTGAGTGATCTTTGTGTGCATACCAGACTGCGCGGCATGTCGCGGTCTTTCGGCTATTTAAGATCTACACATTAATGGCAGCAGCATAGTGCGCATAGACTATACCCACGCGCTGTGTATGGGCAGAATTGAGATGTCGTATACGTACAGGTGGTACTCCGTATGATACACAAAGTGCTGTGCGCGCAAAATCAAGGCACAAGGTATAAGCTGTCTCGTATACGCCCACGTGCGACAGCTTATACCGATTAATTGATTTTGGCGACGATAATGCATGCGTAGTGTATGGTGGCTGTCCGAAATACTGTTGTGGTGAAGTGTCGATGGCAACTGCGACGAGTACACCGACAGTAACTCGCGAGTGTTAACGAATTAGATTGTGTGTGAGTGTGACGCGTGTGGTTCGTGATGTATACATCTGCATTTGTGGTTGTCTATAACTCATCGGCGGATCTCGCCTTCTTTTCATCCACAGAGGGATCATCCATCAGTTCCGTATGTAGCTCCTTCTTTCCTTCCGCAGGGGTGTCCTTATTTTCGTCGTTCGGACTGCCCTTTGTATTATCCGAGTTATCAAACCATCCAGTGAGCATTGAAGTCAACTTCTGTATCTGTCCGCCTGTTTCGGCTGCTGCTGTATCTATTTCCGCGTCTGGCAGATCGTTCTCCTTAGACTCGGGTGATGAGGTGGCTGTGGCTGTGGGTGCAGGAGTTTCGGCCGTACAAACCCCATCTTGCCTGAAAACACGTGGAATGTAGAAGAACATTAGTCGACATTCTAGTATGCGTGGCATTCGAGTAAGTGAGTCCAATATAAGGCAGTATCAATATATTATGTATGTATGTATGTATGTATGTATGTATGTATGTATGTATGTATGTATGTATATATATATGTATGTGTGTATATGTGTGTATACATGTGTATGTATATATGTATGTATGCAAGTATATATATATTAGTGTAGTGTAGTAATATATATATATATATATATATTATGTGTGTGTGTGTGTGTGTGTGTGTAGTATATTATATATATATATATATA